GGAATTATTAAAAGCTTTGTCTAATAAAGACAAAAATCCACAAATAGATAATGTGTTTAAATTTTCAGAAGTTCAAAAAAGAAGGCAAAATATTGCTCATACTTCAAAAGATATATCTTTATCATCTCTTAATAAAGAGATACAAGACTTAAAAGTTATAAAGACAAAAATCCTCAAATAGACAATGTGTTTAAATTTTCAGAAGTACAAAAAAGAAGGCAAAATATTGCTCATACTTCAAAAGATATATCTTTATCATCTCTTAATAAAGAGATACAAGAATTAAAGATAGAAGTTAAAAAATTAAAACAAGAAAATAAATATATTCTCGCTAGATTTGATGAAGGTCATGAACTTGTTAAAAATAGTGAACAAGATGAGCAAGAACCTATTGAAACTAATGAAGCCAATGCTCTATTACAAATATTGCAACAAGTTACCTCTCAAAAGTGGTATATAAATATTAACTTAATAGTTGAAGATCAATTTTACATATCAGATCTTATAGCTCTGGTTGATAGTGGTGCTGATTTAAATTGCATCAACGAAGGAATAATTCCTTCCAAGTTTTTTGAAAAAACTACTCAAACACTAAGTAGTGCAAATGGAAATCAACTAGAGGTAAAATATAAATTACCTAATGCACAAATATGTGTGCAAGGGACTTGTATACCAACTCCCTGTATATTGGTAAAAAATTTATCCCAACATATAATTCTTGGGACTCCATTTTTACATACTATTATGCCTATCCATAAGATAGATACAAATGGCATTCGTGCTACTTTTCAAGAAAAAGAAATTTTACTTGAGTTTATTACAGACCCTCAAACTAAAATGTTAAATGAGGTTAAAAATATTATGCTTAAAGAAAATCAGATAAATTTTCTTAAAGAAGAATTAGTATTTGTTCAAGTTGAAGAACAAATTAAAAAACACAAAGACTTAATAAGTCAAATTGAAAATAAATTCAAACTCACTGTATGCAGTGATGTTCCAAATGCTATTCCTTATACGGATTTTATTTTATCTTATATAGATGATATTTTGATCTTTTCTAATAGTTTCGATCAACATGTTAAACATTTAGAGACTTTTAGATCTCTAACCATAAAAAATGGGTTAGCTATATCTGCCCCAAAAATGAAATTATTTCAAACTCAGATTAGATTTCTGGGTCATAACATTAACAAAGGAACAACTATTCCTATAGATAGAAGTATCGAGTTTGCATCAAAATTCCCAGATGAAATAACTGATATAAAACAGTTACAAAGATTTTTGGGAGCTTTAAATTATGTTGCAGATTATTATAAAGATCTAGCAAAAGATACTGTCCTTTTATATGATAGGCTTAAAAAGAATGCTAAGCCATGGACACAGCAACATACTGCTGCGGTAAGAAAAATTAAACTTAAAGTTAAAAACTTACCTTGTATTCATCTTGCAAATATTCACTGGTTCAAAATAGTTGAAACAGATGCTTCAAATATTGGTTATGGTGGAATATTAAAACAAGTTGATCCCCAAACTAAAAAAGAGCAATTAGTTCGTTTTACCTCTGGTAAATGGGATAAAGCCCAGTTTAACTATTCTACAATTAAAAAGGAAATGTTATCTATTTTAAAATGTTTCTCTAAATTTAGAGACGATATTCTTAATCAAGAATTTTTACTACGAATAGATTGTAGTTCTGCTAAAAGCATTATTGAAAAAGATGTTAAAAATCTTATCTCTAAGCAAATATTTGCTAGATGGCAAGCTGAATTAGCAATGTATCAATTTAAAATTGAATATATTAAAGGTGACTCTAATCATCTTCCAGATTTTCTAACTCGTGAATTTTTACAGGGTACAAATGAGACGGAGTAATCCCTCCTTTTCAGGGAGGGGGAGAGGAGGCGG